AGCACCGCCGCAAGTCAGCGCCAAGCTTCGCCTCATCCGCCGACCTCCCTGGTTCCAAGCTCACCGCCGCCGAGATCAACACAATGACCTGGGTCCCCAAACTGGAACTCGCCCACTCGTTCCGGACTCACCACGGCACAGACAACCGGGCTTAGCTCGACGCGTTTCAGGAGGATGACGACAGATACCATAATTTCATTCACAAAGGACCTAATTAGAGTCGCTGGGCAAAGCCGCCGTCGAAGGTGTAGTTGTGGGGACGGATCGGATGGTAGTGATGGTATCTATCTGTTTTATTGACGATGAACAGTATGTATGTAGCATAAGGGCGCGTTTGGGTATTTTAAGTGGTTTTGGGTGTAAAGATAAAGGGTTGTATGGTTATTTAAAAATTTTGGGTTGTCACGTGACCAATCATGTGTGCCTTCATGGTCGGACGGGGTTAATTGCACCAAGTTGATTAGTTCATGGGGGTTATATGCTAAATTAGTAGATCAGGAGAGTTTTCTGCCACATGGCCAATACATCAAGGGAGTTTTTTTGCACTTTACCTTATATTTTATGTGTACTTTGAGTGTGTGCCAATTGGTGATTAATGTTGATTCTCGAACCCTTCCCCACTTTCAAACTTTCTCCAACTTTATTCTTGAATTCCACATTCAACCCATGAATTCCACATACAATTGTGATCACCCACCATGCACGTGTATTGATTTTGCCCATAGAAAAGACTCAACCTGAACTTGTTATCAAATTTTTTTTCTTTTTCTTTATAATGATCCAATAAAAAAGAAAAACCATCTAAGATTTTCTCATTGGAAAGAAAGAAAGAAAACAAGTTTTCTATGGAAAATTCTTGCTGTGTACAATTAGGGTCACTAAAGTTCAGAGAAAAAAATATTAGAGGGGTGTGATTTTATTTTTATATTGTCAATGTCGTGTAATAAATAATACACTCATGTTCTTTTTTTTTTAATTATTTTTTTTATTTTTAAATGCTACAAGTGCGTTGTGAGCTATGACTGAGTCAATCAGGTTATTTTTGCAATTGTATTTTTTAGTATTTTTAAAGACTGTGTCTTGAAAACTCGTTTAGGCCAAAAATAATACTGTCACTCTCTATCATAACAGATGCCTTCTTTTAAAAATAAAACTTAAATTACACAATCTTTTTTGTTGCATGAATTTCGGAAGATAACATTTATCCATTTTGTTTTACTGTTTCAACTCATCAATTCTAAAACAAAAAGTTCTATTAAGGCATAACTGACGAAATTTTAAATATGTTTTTCATTTTATCTTTATTTATTTTTGTGTTGGAATCATGGTCGGCCTTAGATATGGGTAAAAACCATATATAAGTTTGGCCGATATATATATATATATATTTATTTATATTTATATATTTAAAAGATAATTTAAAAGATAAGTGGTAACTAGCATTAAGGTTTGACTTTGGACCTCCCTTTTTGAGGTTAAGAGATGCCACTTGGCCCTTTGGTAGGCCAATATTTTATGCATAACTTATCAACTCAAATATTATTTTTCTAAAATTATGTTCTATAATTCTCCCCTTAGACATGTATAGATCCTAGCAATTCATTGCAAGACCCTTCGCTTATAAATACCTAGCTACATACTCCAACTATACTGAATGGTTGTGTGATAGTATATTATTCTATTTATTTGAGACATTCTACTGAATTTGTGAATGGTTGTGTGATGATGGGATTGACTGAATTTGTGAATGGTTGTGTGAGGAGGGTATGTCACAAAATATAGATCTGTGATTTATTTAGAATTTGTGTGGATTTCTTTGAGTGTTTGGTCCAGATAGGTAGTTAAGATAGAGGATTGTGCAGTATATAGTTACGGGAGTTTGTTTATTATTATTTTTTCACTTATAAAAATTCTTCATTTTAGAGATTTATAGTTTCTCCCTCTACCTTTCATTCCCTTTTCATTTTTAAATCAAACATAAAGTATATACATTTCTTAAAATAAAAACCACAACTGCCAGTAAAAAAAAAAAAACATTTAGTGTTTTTTATTTTTATTTTTTATTTTTAGGTATGGTTCATTTTGCTACCGTGCGCCGGGTAAATATTGGGAAATATTAATTTTTTATTTTTGATTTGGGTTTAAATAATAATAAAAATTACCAAACACACTTAGATGTTTTGCTTTATTACAGTGCACTACTCACAACAAAAAAACACAAAACAAAAACATTGCCAAACATGACCTAACTCCATTCTTTCTCTTTTTAAAGTCTCTTATAATTGTCCCCCATATATATATATATATATATATATATATATATATATAGTATTTTTTATAATATTGACTGTACCTATTTTTCCTTGTAAGTTATTTGTATTATCTTATATTAATTTTTAGCTTATATATATATATATATATATATATATATATATATAGTATTTTTTATAATATTGACTGTACCTATTTTTCCTTGTAAGTTATTTCTATTATCTTATATGAATTTTTAGCTTTTTTACGTTTACTAAAATTCCTCTTCAATAATCATGTTGTAAGACTTTGACATATCAAAAGTAAAAGAAAAAGTTTCCATCACTATATATATTTTATGTGTGTTTTGAGTGTGTGTCAATTGGTGATCAATGTTGATTCTCGAACCCTTCCCCACTTTCAAACTTTCTCCAACTTTATTCTTGAATTCCACATTCAACCCATGAATTCCACATTCAACCCATGAATTCCACATACAATTGTGACCACCCACCATGCACGTGCAATGATTTTGCCCATAGAAAAGACTCGGCCTGAACTTGTTATCAAATTTTTTTTTTCTTTTTCTTTATAATGCTCCAATAAAAAAGAAAAACCATCTAAGATTTTCTCATTGGAAAGAAAGAGAAGCAAAACAAGTTTTCTATGGAAAATTCTTGCTGTGTACAATTAGGGTCACTAAAGTTCAGAGAAGAAAATAATAGAGGGGTGTGATTTTATTTTTATATTGTCAATGTCGTGTAATAAATAATACTCATGTTCTTATCTTCTTGTTCTTTCTTCTTTCTTTTTTTTTTTTTTTTAATTTTCTTGTTCTTTCTTCTTCCTTTTTTTTAAAAAAAAAACAAAAATTCTACAAGTGCGTTGTGAGCTATGACTGAGTTAGTCAGGTTATTTTTGTAATTGTATTTTTTAGCATTTTTAAAGACTATGTTTTGAAAACTCGTTTAGGCCAAAAATAATACCATCACTCTCTATCATAACAGATGTCTTCTTTTAAGAATAAAACTTAATCTCTCTTAACGGGTGTCACTATCACGTTCCGAGTGCGTTGTCGCTCTTAGGCTCTTCACGTGTTCTAGCTCAAATTCTCACTATTTATGACTTAATTATGCTATTATTACGGTCTCGCTCTCGAATTCGTTTTTGCTCCTGCTCTCGTGCTCTATGTGACTTAGAGTAGAACTTTTTAAGAGGAAAATAATTATTGCATTGCCCCTTAAAAAATTATTAAGTTATTTTTCTAAGTTTGAATGTCTGTATAATTAAATTTGAAATTTTTAAATTTTTAAATAAGAGTATTTTATTCAAAGATGTGAAATGTATATTTTGAATGTTTAAAATGGATAAGTATTTTGAGACAATCTAAATATATATATATATATATATATGGACAACCAAATTAGGACACCAGAGAGTACATCAAGTGGTCCAACTATCTTGGGAAGTTACATCAAAACATAAAAATTAAGAAGAAGAAAAAAATGATTGAGAGGAAAAAGAAATACATAGGGAGTAGTTTAGAGATTCCAACCCACAAAAGGGCTTGTTTTGTTTTTTAAAAAAATTAATAGTTTTTAAGAAATTTGAAAGTGAAAAGTGATTCTAACCGAACTCATTTTAAAATTATTTTTTGTTTTGTTGTTGACTAATGGTCTCATAATTTGAGGACCTTCTCCGGTTCTTTTAAGTTATAAGCCTAGGAGTCTCCTCCTCCACCATGTGAGTTTGTAACATTCTTTCCAATCCAAAGTAAGAGAAAACCTCCTAACTAGGGCTACAAATAAATTGGATTTCGGCTGGATGAATTATAATTTATATTTAATTTGTTTAATTAACGAATTATCATATTCAAATCACTAATATATTATAATATTAAATCTTTCAATTCATACTTTAATTATTATGTCTCAAATTCAAATTCAGAACAAAATTCAATCCATTGACTTATCTAGTTAGAAGATTAGGTGAAGTAGAGAGTTATTAACATATAAAATGATGTCATTATATAACTATGCAACTGCAACCTAATGAATCTAATGGGACATAATTAATATAAATAAATTAAATAACAAAATATATATATATGTGTGTGCGTGTGTAATTCACTATCGAATTGAATTACCTTTAATTCATATTCGGTTTGTTAAGGTAATGAGTTATCGAATTCGAATCATTAGTGAGTTATCGAATTTCTTATTCAATTCATAATTAAATCGGATTCGAATCAAAGTCTTATTCATTGACTAATTTAAGTGTAACATTCTCTCCTATTTGAACATGACGCCCTAATAGTAATCCAACCACCCTGGTTTATTCTCATATATCTTATAATGGTAAAAATTTAATCTGTTAAATAGTATTACCTACTCATTTCTATAAACTTCAAAATTTCTTTAATTTGATGGTGTTTACCTACTCATTTCTATTTAGTCAAAATTTTCCCTAAACCTTTGATCATGGCAAGGCCATTGTAATTTTTGTTACTACTTCTTATTTATACAACATTCGACTTCCAACAAAAAAAAATTCCCTAAACCTCTCTCACACATGAGAACCAAACATTCTAAATTTGTAACTGATATATGCACGCGGCCACATACAATTACATTTTCCTATACAGTTGACCCTAAAGTCTAAACATAACCTACTCACGCCCGTTTCACGTGACTGATTCTGTCTCATTCATTCATTCATTCATATATATGTTGCAGAGCTTAACTTGATTATTCGGTTAATTCGTCATCAAAACACACTACTCCTCTCTCTCTATATATCTATATCTATATATATATATATATATATATATATATTTGTACATTACAACTCTGGGTCTCCTTAACTTCCCTAAATCCAACCATGGGACCCTAAATTGACGTTTTTTTTTTTAATCTGGCACTCTGTCTCTCTCCTCCATCCATGGCCTCCCACCAACACAACCACTCAGACCTCAACAAAAACGGCACCACCACCACCACCACCACCACCACCGCCATCGCCGTCACTAACAATACCCTAAACCACTCCCCCAACAAAAACAAAAAGCCAAAGCTCTCTCTCATCTCCGACGCCGAGCTCCGATCCGAATTCGCCCACCACGACCCCGCCATCGCCCGGATCAACAACGGCAGCTTCGGCTCCTGCCCGGCCTCCATCATCGCCGCTCAACAGCTATGGCAGCTTCGGTATCTCCGACAACCCGACGACTTCTACTTCAACCAACTCCAGCCCTCCATCCTCAAAACCCGAACCCTAATCAAAGACCTCGTCAACGCCGACCACGTTGACGAGATCTCCATCGTCGACAACGCCACCACCGCCGCCGCCATCGTCCTCCAGCAGACGGGCCGGGCCTTCACCGAGGGCAGGTTCCAGAAGGGCGACGCCGCCGTGATGCTCCACTACGCCTACGGCGCCGTCAAGAAGTCTGTCCAGGCCTATGTATCACGCGCCGGCGGTCAGGTAATCGAAGTTCAATTACCATTTCCTGTTAATTCCAAGACTGAAATAGTCAACGAGTTTCGGAAAGCCCTAGAAAGGGGCAAATCGAACGGTCGTAGGGTTAGGTTAGCGGTGATCGATCACATCACATCGATGCCGAGTGTTGTGATTCCGGTCAAGGAATTGGTTAAGATCTGTAGAGACGAGGGTGTTGACCAAATCTTTGTCGACGCAGCACACGCAATTGGGTGTATTGATGTTGATATGAAGGAAATTGGGGCTGATTTTTACACTAGTAATCTGCATAAATGGTTTTTCTGTCCACCCTCCGTTGCATTTTTGTACTGTCGGAAAACCGAAAGCTCATCGGATTTGCATCATCCGGTGGTATCACATGAATATGGAAATGGATTGGCAATTGAGAGTGCGTGGATTGGGACGAGGGACTATAGTTCGCAGCTTGTGGTGCCGGAGGTTATGGAGTTTGTGAATAGGTTTGAAGGTGGGATTGAGGGGATAAGAAAGAGAAACCATGATAAGGTTGTTGAAATGGGAGAAATGTTGGTTAAAGCTTGGGGGACAAATCTTGGGTCTCCACCGGAGATGTGTTCGAGTATGGTTATGCTTGGGTTGCCGGCATGTTTGGGGATTTTGAGTGATTCCGATGGTTTGAAGTTGAGGACCCATTTGAGGGATTGCTTTGGTGTTGAAGTTCCAATATATTATAGAGCACCGAAAGATGGGGAGGTTAATCCGATAACAGGGTATGCACGGATATCTCATCAAGTTTATAATAAGGTTGATGATTATTATAAGTTAAGGGATGCTGTTAACAAACTCGTTAACAATGGAACTACCTGTGCATCTCTCTCAAATTGAAAAAGGTACGGAATTTTCATTCATGGAAGTGGTCTGCAAGCTAATTATCCTGTAATAATACATTTTTGCACTGCTTGTATGCTTTCAACTTATTGTTAATACAATTTTAAAGTTTAGCTTTTAGTATAACTTTCACTTGTAATAACAACCACCTCATTGACAAGCTTAACTACCATCCATTTCTGAGAGGTTTGGTGAGATCTTAGTAATTCTTTGAACTCTGCTTGTGCTCAAACTTTTTATTTTTTATTTTTTATTTTTATCACCTATTGTGTTCAAGACCTTGTTTCAATCAATTTGGGACTGTACCCTCCTCCAAACCTTACGCCAGTAGTTCCTAATATGCCTTTTAGACACTGATTATGAGATATATTTTATGAAAATGTCACTACACTGTTGCTGAGAGAAAATAATATACTGTGCAAACTGACAGATCAGGGTAGACTGGACAGGTGGAGAGCTAGATTTTTTAAGGTGATTGCTGACAATTTACAAACCCATTCGCCACTTGTCTTTTATATGGAAATCCATGGGACTCTCAATCTGGTCACAAGCACCACTACGATGATGAACTGTGTGTCACATCTTATCTCGCTTCATGACACTCTGCAAGGAATAATTTCCCACTTTCCACTTCACATGCGACTCAAATATCCATAATGTCCTCCACTTATATCAATCTCCAAATTGATGCATACAATGCTTAGATCTTGAACTTTAGCAGGTGATCAAAATAAGATCTCTTTATACAATACTCACTATTAGGAAGATATATCTCTCACACACCCTCAAGTCTCAACTGGTTTGGTATCTCCAGTACTAGGTGCCAGTGCCATATCTCCACCATACATAGCTCAAGTATGCGATCTTTACACAGGTGCTTCTCTCTAAAAAGGATTATTCATTGCTTCTGTTTGCAATGTAAAAAAATTGTCTGGTGCATGCATGTTGATGTGTATTACATATGTATGGGTGGTAAGAAGGGACCAAAGAGCTCCTCAAGCTCATTGAATGGCTCGGAGTGACCTTTGAGTTATGTCACGAGCCACCTTGAATGTTAAGGGTTTGTGTGATTCACTGAATAAATTTAAGATTCATTGAGGTGTGTTTCCTTGAGAGAGAGAGAGACTGTGTGACATTTAAGACACATGGATGTTCTCTTATGACATGGCAATGTTTACACTCGGTTCTAACGTTTACCTCAGGCACCCTTGTCAACATGATATGACTTCAATATGGGTATAGTATATGGGTCCAAACAAGTATTAGCATGTCAAAACACGCGAGGGTGAAAGAAAAATAATAAATTTTCACCTACTGCCTACTGGATCTCTTCAAATTAGGGTTTTCAATTGTGGAACTATTGCCATGTCGTAGGAGTTTGATGATACTAAACTTGTATCAAAAAATTGATAGAAGCAGTATTTGATAGGAGCAAGAAGATGAGGATGAATGAGATGCTGCACCTGCTGTCGCTCTTAAACGAGTTTCTGTTTTGGACGCACTCAGCTTTGTTTGTGTCTAGAGAAAAAGGAGTCTATGTAATATGATAAATCCTTCTAAATTTTGATAGTCCACATTTGCACTCCAACCTATTTCCTACTTTTACACGAACACTCAATCTCATAATGTCACAAACCTCAACTGTCCTAGTTCTGATCAAATTGACCTATTCCTTGAAATATGTCTCGAGGCTACTAATGCAATTTTTTGGATCGCGAAAGATAATCATAAGGAATGTATGGTTCATAATAGTTAGGTTCATCGTATCTGGTTCCGATATTACAGTTTCTTAGGTTATGGTGTCATAATCTCTTGGGAAATTTACTACCAAGTCCTACTTTTCTCATAGAAAAATAAGTCCTAAATTTTTTCTTTGGACCAGTAAGTCCTATTTTTTTTTTTTTTTCATTTAAGTTGTAAATCACTAAAATTTCCATTTTGTACCCTTACTAAATTAGATATACTCTTACTAAATTAGATATAAAATTTAGAGCCAATCTTTCATATTTACCCTTACAAATTAGACATAAAATTTTACTTATAAATAAAAAATAAAAAAAGACATAAAATTTGAATAAAAAAATTACATTTTATTGATTTAATTTTTTTTTTTATAGAATAATTAATTTTTTTGGTACTAAAATCGTGTAATATACACAAGAATTTTTTAATTGAATTTAAGTTAAATTTATTATTATTATTATTATTTATTTTATTTTTTTGATAATCGTGGTTGTCCGGGCTAGCTTGCGCGCACCTCAACTAATCCCACGAGAAGTAACTATTATTTAAACTCATAATGCAATATTATTAAGTAACTAAAACTTAAGGAGTATATATAAATAGATTATATATTAATTATTGAATAAATTTATAATTAAAAAATAAAATTCCTGGGCATAATTTCAAAATTTTACTTCAGGATATAAATGGAAGATTTAGTTATGTATGACTTAAATGGAAAAAAAAATCTCAAAAGTAAGACTTATTTGTCCTAAAGAAAATATTTAGGACTTATTTGTCTTTCAATGTGAAAAGTAGGACTTGGTGGTAATTTTCCCTAATTTCTTTCAAAGTACATAGGCTCTCGGGCTCTTTTTGGAATTTGAGAAGGCACATCAGATTACAATTCTGCGAATCTTAAATAAGCTTTAAAATGGATTTGTTTATCTTTTTCAGGATTCTACTTTCTGGCAACTAGGGTGTAAAAGTTGGCTTCATTTCCCTTAATTTGTGAAAATTGTTTAATTTCTAGTGAACTCCTTATGATCTCAATTAAAGCAACCTTATTTATCAGCATTAGCTTCTTCTCTCGCTTTTTTTTTTTTTTTCAAAACAAATTTAATTGTCAATTCATTCCTTACTCGTACTTTGTAAGCTGTGCCTGTTACATCATTTATTTAATTGTGGCTTTTGTGTATAATTTTCTGTTCATAAAACAATATGATTTGGTAGCGTTTCTATACCCAGTTACTATGTTAGGCTACAAGAATTCTGGTCTAATAATACTTAAATTCTGGTCCAGTAATGCTATTATTAAAGAATAAATTGTCAATTAAATTGTGTGATGAGAACACAATGAATAGAAATCTGTCTTAATTATGATTGTACGAGATAGCAATTGTGTGTGAATGTATTTTCCATGTGTGTGCATGCAAGCGTGTGAGCATGTTTTGTGTGTGTGTGTGTGAGAGAGAGAGAGGGAGAGAGAGAGAGAGAGAGGTTTTAATAGCTCCACTTTTCTTCTTGTTTTTTATCCACTTTGATGCATTTAACATAAATATGTATTGAAACTTCTACTGTTCATCCAATGTAGTAACAGAGTAGAAAATATCATGAGGAGGTGGATAGGTTGTTTGCTTTAAAAGTACTGTATTCATGCATAGAATGTCGGGCAAGGAGGAACCTTCCCAGTTCATGTGGTAGCTTTGACGATTCAATTAGAGGATCATTTGTCATTTTAGTTTTTACAGTTTGTGGTATTGTGCATTCTTGATGACAGTTGAAACATATGTACTAAGTTGTGCATTTGACTTTGAGTGAGTTGATTTTGACCAAATAGTTCTATCTTTGTTTGATGTTCAATGACAGATTGTAAGAGGCTTCTGATAAATAACTCCCAAGCTTCTCAGCTTAGGTTGCATGCTTCGGTTCTCATAATATTGGGAATGCGGGATGCCTGAAGTGGTGGAAAAATCAATTGCAGGTTGAAGCATGTCTAAGAGCTTGAAAAGGTGTCTTCTTAGCTTCGAAGATACAAATTCCTCGTGGAGATCTTTTAATATGTCCTTGGGTTTCTGTTCAAGCTCTTTCTTTAATTTATCAGATATAATTTCACTTGATCCACCATCAAGTGAAGTAAAACTTATATGTTCAAGTTTTGGCTATTGAACTAGGCATGGACATGATGTTTGTTGTTCACATTAAGAAGTTTCATCTTGTGCAAGGTAGCATTTGTACAAATTTATGGTTGCTTGCTTATTTGATTTGGTTGAGAATTGCATGATTATAGCTTAGAAAACATTCAATACTTCCCTAAATGAGCTACAAAAAGTTGTAAATGCATTTTGTTATTTTAGGGACCTTGAGAAGATCTGAATCGAGGGCTTTTGTAGTACTCTAGGATGATTTGTAGTTGTCCAACTCTTGCATTATAAAGGTATGTGTGTATATATTTATATGTGGAATCGGATCTTCTGTAGTACAAATTCTGGTGTTGTAATATGCTTTACACGGACAACATATTAAACTGAGTCAGCAACATAATTATTTCAAGGCTTGAGTAATATTGCTGCAACCTCAATTTAATATGTTGCATTAGTGACCAGTGACGGAGCCAGGATTTCAAGTGAGGAGGGCACGCTGTCAAAAAAAAAAAAAATAATCCGGAGTAAATATATATATATATATATATATATATATATATATATATAACAACTATAAAATTTAAAAGACAAAGAAGAAAAAAATTATTAAAATATAAAAGGAAAGAAAAATGAGAGAATTTTAAAAGGACATAGTTGAAAAGTTTCAATTGAGGAAGAAAAATTTGACTTTTTCTACTAAGGAAATTTTAAGAATGCGAAGAATAAAAGAGAAAATAAAGAAAAAATAAAAATATAATTTTAGAAACTAAAAATTTGAGGGGGGCACTGTATAAATTTTTTCATATATATGGAATTTTTTTAAAAAATTACCACATATATTATAGGTTGTTAACCAACTCAAGAGGGGCACGTGCCCCACCTAGGCCTTCATTGGCTCCGTCCCTGTTGGTGACCGCAACGATCACCATTTTTTGTAGTTGTGTTTGCAGTTTCAAAATAATAGTGTTCCGACCTCCACCCAACATATTCAATTGAGGTGCAACACCATTATTTTGGACCTGAAATTAATGTTTTGCACGTGTACAACACACTATGGCACCAAAAAGTGTACAGGTCCATTTATATTGCATATGTTGTACTTTCCAGTTTCAAGTGTTTCCGGTGGACATGGAAATGTCTTCTGGTGAAGATCCAGGAGGGGAACCTACACTATGTGGGTACACCAGTTGTGCTGTTCTTGACTTCTCTTTAGGTTGACTTTTCACAAATCTGAAAAATCTTTCTCAATCCTTGTAAAGTTCATGACTCTCATCACGAGAGGGCTCTCTCTCGATAGCAATACTCTTTTGCAAATCGAGATTTTGTGTTGCGCACATGCAAAACACACTATAGCCTCAAAAAAGATATTCCAATGTATGTTGTACTTTCCAGTTTCAAGTGTTTCCGGTGAATATGAATGTGTCTTCTGGTGAAGATCCACAGGTGGAACCTACACTGTGGGTACCCAGTGGCGGTCATGGTGTCTCATTGGGCTGTTCTTGACTTCTGTTTCAGGTTGTTTTGTTGCTTCATTAATTTTCAAAGTACAGGTAGTCTTATACTTGTCTTTCTTTCTGTGTAATCATGTAAATATTTCTCTTGAAATGAATTTTGTTGGTTCTCTGTAAATAACATATTTGATTCAAGTCGATTAAAACTGTCAATTTATACAGGTATAAGATCTACTATATTAAGATTCACATGAATGGATGGTTGTGTATGATTTGTGGATGAAAGGAAAATGTGTACTTTTGGCTATATGCATAAAAGGGGCAATGATCATTCTATTTTTCAACATGCCTGAAACTGTGTTGGACTCATGGTATGGTGAATTGGTCTAAATTATTTCTTCTAGTGAATGGTGGAGACACTATTATGAATTCATGTCCCTCACTTTTCGTTTTCCCACTAATTGATGGGTCCAAAAATGGAGACCATCGACAATGATATATGACAGCTAATTATTGTAGACAATACTATTTAATTGGAAGGCGTGACATGTATGTAGTAAGCCAAAGTTAGGTCATTCAGGGTGTCTCATTCTGCGCACTACACAAGTACCTAGAGTGTATACACCCTTCCATGGAATTGCACATCATATACAAATATTGACATAAAAAAATTGATTTAGGCAAGTTATAAATTTAAGAGCTTGATATTTAATAACATTTATTATATTTTAATTTATAGAGGGGATTACTGTAATTTAAAATTTGTATAATTTAATATAGTATTTAACATAAAACTTTTATAATGGTTCATTTGTCTTTTCTTATTTTTTTCCCCTATTTTTGAACGGATGAAAATTTGTAAAGGAGGAAAGATGAATCCTCCATCTTATTTTCTTTTCTTTCCTTGTACCATCTCTATTCCTTCATATAGAGATGAGTCCTTCATACTAAACACAACATGAAGTTTGATAATAAGTCATCATATTTTAATATAATATTATCACTTGTTTTTAAAATATTTGGACGGAGCCAGGATTTTCAAGTCAGGGTTGTGCAAAATATATATATATATATATATATATATATATATATATATATATATATATAACACAATAAATATAAAATACAAAAGAAGAAGAAAATTATTTAAATATGCATGTTAAAAAGAAGAATTTTAAGAAGTAGAAATAGAAAAAAGAAAAAGAAAAAAAAAAAGAGAGAACTTTAAAAAGTAAAAAGTTAAGAGGTTCAATTGAAGGAAAATTTAACTTTTTTTAAAAAAATAAAATTTAAGGAATTTGAAGAGTAAAAAGAGAAAATAAGAAGATAATTTTAAAAACTACAAAATTTAGGGAGACAAGCATAAATTTTTTCATATATATAAATAAAAAATAAAAAAAAATTTGCCACATATGTTATAGAGAGCTGCTAGGCCAGGGGCACGGCCTGGGCCTTCATTGGCTCTGTTGCCTTAACAAGAAACCTATTTTTTTTTAGTTATTTTTCACTTTGTAGAAAGCTTGTTTGCTATGTTACATTTAGAATGAGAATTTTTTTTTTCAAACTTCTGATCAAGTTTTTTAAAAAAAAAACAAAAGAAAATAAAAAGAAGAAGGTTCATGGTTAGGTCATACACGTAAGCCTAATTCAGTTATACTAATAATAGTGCTCCAATTATTGTGTATAATTTTTGACGCCACAAAAAAAATCTTTATTATGTGCGCCATTGAGTTGTCTTTTCAATTAACAACATATTTTTGTAATGTTTATTTGTTTAATATTTAAATATAAAAATATTTTTTTAATAATTTTATTATTATATAATTATTTTATAAATTATTATATAATTATTTTATAAATTATTATTATGAAAATATTTAATAAATTAAATTTTATTATGTTATTGTTTCTTAAAGAATTAAAAGTTTGAAATTAAAAAATTAATTTATAATTTTGTGGCAAATTAGGTTTTTAATCAAGTCTTATTATTGTGTTATACAACTTAAGACGTTATGTCAACTCTTATCAGGAACCCTAGGTACGCAAGATCATTGGCGGTGGATAGCAGCTATATAACCAACATGTTACATCGTCTATTTCCATAAGAGGGTATACGTATCACACTAGTGTTTCTCGTGCGATTTTGTGACTCTTTCTCTCTCCTCTTTGTCTCTCTACTCGTGTTTGGATGCATCACGTATGCAAGACAGCACAAAGTCGGACAACACCACCACCTTCCTATCTCATTCGCGAAATTGCCGACACAAATTCAAACCCAATTGATTTCTCCTCTCAAAGGTAAGACCTTCAATCGTTTTACACTTCTAGGGTTTCCAAGATTCTAGGGTTTCCAAGATTCTGTATCAATGAAATTTGGGTTCTACTTAATCAATCTTTTCTTTTGTTCTTCAATTTTTTAGGGCTTGAAGGAGAAACTTCTTTGACTCGTTTACTGTTGTTCATTGCAATATTCATGTGCCCATTACCTGTTTGATGATGAGCTCTATCGAAACATGCATATATATATAGTATATGTATTGGGTATTGAATGTGTTGCATTATGTAGGACTTTCAATTCAGTGTTCTGGGTTTGGACATTGTGGCTTATAGGCGTATAGACGACTATAAATTGAGGGTTTTGAGTTTGGATATCATGGTTTTTTGTTGGGGGCTAAGGTTTATAGTATATAGCTATATGCTACTCCAATGATGATTGTCATTTACAAACAGTTGCTAAATGTCATAACTTAATGGCTTCGTATATTTTGTATGATTTGAAAAATTATAACTGTGTATGTAATGTACTCCCTTAGAAAAAGGCCCCTCTCAAGACGCTGAGGAATCAAATCAATCTTCATAGTAGTTCAACCGACTGGGATCAGTCTGATGACCAGAAGCTTCCGAGTAAATTAGCTTGTTGTTTGCCATTGACATAGGATATTTCTCATTAGGTGGGTTGCCTTACGGGGGTATTGAATGAGTTTGCATTCTGAAAGGGTTTTGAGTTTGGATATCATGGTTTTTTGTTGCAGATGTGGGCTTAGGTTTATATTATAGGGTTTTGAGTTTGTGATTTATAAGTGGCACACCTCACAAACAGTTGCTAAATTTCACAACCTTTTTTTATATATTTATTTTGTATGATTTGAAAAGTTATATTTTGTATTTATATGTTTTAATAAATGAGTCAGGTAATGGCTGGGAAGAAAGTTATAGTTATATGTCAGTCTGGGGGCGAATTCGAGACTGATAATGAAGGGACGTTGTTATATAGAGGTGGAGATGCGCATGCAATGGAAATTGATGACCAAATGAAGTTTAACGATTTCAAGTCGGAGGTGGCAGAGATGTTCAACTGGAGTCTTAGTACCATGTCTATCAAATATTTCCTCCCTGGAAATAAGAAGACACTCATTACAGTCTCCAATGACAAGGACCTTAAGCGCATGATAAAATTCCATGGTGACTCTAGCACCACAGATATATATGTTATGATGGAAGAAGTCGTTGCCCCTGATGTCTCAGACATGCCTGCTAGTAGGTAGTTCTCTCGCTATCTAACGAGATATTTAATTGTTGTTTTTTAGGGACGAAACATTTGGGAACATTTGATCTTGCAGGTCGAGCAGGACAACCTTGTCAGAAGCAGACGTTCCAATTGATGCTTCTCTAAGTGTCATAGACGATGTTGTGGATGACCCAACCCAGCCCGGTCTGCTGCTTGATGCCTCTTTTGATGTTGTAGTTGATACCAGCGATGCTGATGCCCATGTTGATATACCCATTGAAATGCCTCCAGTTCTTACTTATATTGGTTCCCACGACGAGAAGCATATAAAAGCTGCACAGCAATGGCAGAATAATATCACAGGCGTGGGCCAACGGTTCAATAGTGTTCATGAATTTCGTGAGGCTTTGCGTAAATATGCCATTGCACATCAGTTTGCATTTAGGTATAAGAAGAACGATAGTCATCGAGTAACTGTTAAATGCAAAGCAGAAGGTTGTCCATGGAGAATTCATGCATCAAGGTTGTCGACCACTCAATTAATTTGTATTAAGAAAATGAATGGAACGCATACATGTGAAGGGGCTGCTGTAACGACTGGGTATCAGGCAACAAGAAGTTGGGTGGCAAGTATCATCAAGGAGAAGTTGAAAGTTTTTCCAAATTACAAGCCAAAGGATATTGTCAATGATATCAAACAGGAATATGGAATTCAATTAAACTACTTTCAGGCATGGCGTGGGAAAGAGATAGCTAAAGAGCAGCTTCAGGGTTCATATAAAGAGGCATACAGTCAGTTACCCTTTTTCTGTGAGAAGATAATGGAGACAAATCCTGGTAGTCACGCTACTTTCACAACCAAAGAAGACTCGAGTTTTCATCGCCTCTTTGTATCATTCCATGCCTCATTGTATGGCTTCCAACAAGGTTGTCGACCACTTCTTTTCCTTGATAGCATACCCTTGAAATCAAAGTACCAAGGCACATTGTTGGCTGCAACAGCTGCTGATGGGGATGATGGTGTTTTTCCTGTTGCCTTTGCTGTAGTAGACGCAGAAACTGATGATAATTGGCGTTGGTTTTTGCAACAATTGAAATCAGCATTCCCAACACTTCATGGTATAACAATTGTGGCAGATAGAGAGAAGGGACTAAAGGAGTCAATTGCTGACATATTTCAGAATGATGGTATATTCCATGGCTACTGCATACGATATCTTTCGGAGCAACTTATTAGAGATTTGAAGGGGCAGTTTTCTCATGAGGTGAAGCGTTTCATGGTTGAGGATTTTTATGCTGCTGCTTATGCTTCTAAGCCTGAAAGCTTCCAAAGGTGTGTTGAAAGCATTAAAGGTATTTCATTGGAAGCTTACAATTGGGTTATGCAAAGTGAGCCCGTGCAATGGGCAAATGCATTCTTCCAGGGTGCGAGATATAACCATATGACATCAAACTTTGGAGAGCTTTTCTACAGCTGGGCATCAGATGCACACGAATTACCAATAACTCAGATGGTCGATGCGATAAGGTGTAAAATTATGGAGTTAATTTATACTCGACGGGCAGATTCTAACCAATGGTTGACTAGACTTACTCCATCTATGGAGGAAAAACTAGAAAAAGAAAGCATTGAGGTTCGTTCCCTTCAAGTGTTACTCTCAGCTGGGCAGAGATTTGAGGTTCGTAGTGACACGGTTGTTGAAGTTGTTGATCTTGATCACTCTGCCTGTAGTTGTAAGGAGTGGCAGCTTACTGGTTTGCCATGCTGCCATACACTTGCTGTGCTTGGTTGTCTTGGGCGCGATCCATATGATTACTGTTCTAGATACTTAACAACTGATAGCTACAGATTGACATATTCGGAGTCAGTACATCCAATTCCAAGTGTAGATAGGCCCTTGCAAAAGGATTCTTCTCAGGTTGCAATAACCGTAACACCTCCTCCAACTCGTCGTCCGCCAGGAAGGCCTACAACTAAGCGATATGGATCGCAAGAGGTAGTCAAACGTCAGCTTCAATGCAGTCGATGCAAGGGTACTGGGCACAACAAGTCAACCTGCAAAGAGTTTTTACTGGAGTGCTAGATCATGTAAGTATTTTTTTTATGATATTCTTTAAACTATAAAAGCTTTTTGCATGTAACTATTTTAGGTTCGTGAAATTTAAATTAACTTGCAATTTATTGATAGGTTCTACCTAGAATCTTCTCTGGCGCTATTGATTAGTGTTACTTGGATATGTATTACATGCATTACCCATGTTCATTTGTAGATATGACTTGCTCGCATGTGTTACTGTTTGTATGAGTAATATGCATATATTTTTGCTGCCTATTGATCTCCAGCCCTTAGCTTGAGTAGTTACCCACTTACCCATGGCACGGCTCAAGTCTTGATTTGGATTGGGGTGTGTATGTCACTGGCAATTCTGTCTTAGCTGCACGATTATCCATTCTCTTTTGCTTGAGTGTTTACTACTGACGTTTAACAAAATTTTAAAAATTGATATCTTTTTGCCTAATGAATGGATGGGAAACACTTTGATACTTGAATGTGTATATATACATTTGATGTATATATGTCCATCTTTTGCGATGTAATAGTTCCTGTATTCTTAATTTTCCTGTGTCATACCCACTTAGTTTCTTGTAAGTATTATACTAACACTCGTAGTAATTGTGGTATTACTGACTCTATCCTTTCATCAATTAATATTTCTATATTCCATCTTCTTTGCCTGTGCTCGTTGCGATTAGTGTAGGAATCTTTGTCCCCGCATCTAGGTGTTGATGAGGTTCACTCGGGCGTCTTTTGTGAGAGCCCCTCATTATTCCTGCTTAAACAAGCTTAAGATAGTTCCCAAGTCTTCCTAATTTTTTGGGCGAAATGCCAGAAAAAAAAGGCCCTTGAACTACCACACATTATCAATTAGCCCTCTTGAACTTTTCATAAAATCCGTATGCTATAAAATATTTGCAAATAACATCATCCTGTTACTTGACTGTTAGTTGCACGATAAATTTACACAATTGCCCTTTTAAAAGAAAGAAAAAAAATGATTAATTTTGAAATTACAGAATTTTCCAAAATTAAGTTAAGCCCCTAGGTTGTACCATTGAAAATCCTGACCTGTTTCTCCTATTTGGGTCACAATTCCCAAAGATGGTACTCCCCCGTCCCATAATAAGTGTCCACTTTTCCATATTTAGTTGTCCCAAAATAATTGTCCCAATTCAAAAGTCAATCTATTATATTTTACAACATTTCCAATTTACCCTTCTTTCATTGAATTTCTAAAAACAAAATATCATCACATCACTGTGGACACACCATGGGTAGATTTGGTAATTTATTCTATACCAGTACAATAAAAAAATATTAAAAACCACATCTTAAAAAGTTAGGTTCCCAAAAAGGGACACATAAAAAAATGGGACGGAGGCAGTATCATTTTATTTGTTTTTATTCAAAGGTAATAATTTTGATAATTTGGTCCATAGAAAAGGACATTTAGGTTACAGTATGACAAAGTTGTGAGCATATGAGGTGCACAACTATTTTTCATCCATTTTTTAACAGAAAGAAGATGACGGGTTATTTTTCAAGGTCTTACAAAACTACAAGGGTTATTTAGCAAAATGATAATCCATAGGGGGTTATTTGCAAATGCGAGAAATTTCAAGTAGTCTTTTTGCATTTTGCCCCCTTCATTTTCATAAGATTAAATTCCCTTTACCCATTTTTTTTTGTCGCATTCTCATGACTTGAGCGGGAAACCTTCTAATATTTACTCAAATATTGTCAAGATTCATGGTTTATAAGGATCTGACTGTCAACTACCTAAAACAACCCTCCCTCAGCTGTGTAAGAATAAAGCACGAGGTCCGACTGCGGCTGTGTCAATTTTATAATATATTTGTACATGTATGTTTACAGAAATATATATACACACCCACTATATATGTTAGTAAAAATAAATTGTAATTGTGAAATCAGAACAGAATGTACAGCTTTTGTAGCAAAAAGGATTTCTAAGTGTGAAATCTGAACAGAATGCACAGCTTTGGTAGTTGCAAGTTTGTGTTTCATGTGAGGATCTCTGCATGTATGTGCATGCGCTTAATATTAAAGAAATTTTCATGGGGAAAGTTTATGGTTTGGTCACTTGGTAGCAAATAATGGGATTATTGATCAATGGAGGGGCTAGCTTTTCTGTCAGGTTTTGGGACTTTGGATAATGTTGTAGGAAGGGGTTTGTCGACTCCTCATAGGGGTAAGGATATGGTTGAAACCAGGAGAGAAATTTTGGGATGCTTAATGGTGGTTGTGTGCTTGTGTGTGTATATTACTGGTGAGCGTGAGGACATGTTTTTAGTGGAAGAATTTCTGATTTTCCTCTTCAAAGATGTCGAGGAGGTGTGCATTGATAAGTTGTGGTTGAGGCAGTGGGATGAAGCGGAATCCTACCTTTGTTGGGGGTTCCCAGATTAGGAGCTTGAGGCAGTTGTGGTTTCAATTAAAAAAATATCTTGCTAAGATTATCAGGCAGTGGGATGCAGTGAAATCCTTATCTATTCACGAGCTTTAAGATATACAAGTATTGAATTGGGACAGCTGCTTCCACTAAGCCTCCTCATCTTGTAGTGCACTTCTCTTCCAACCTCTTTTGCATTTTCACCCCCCTTTTTTTTCTCTTCCAAACTGGGAAATCCCTTTGCATGTGGCCTTACTTTGATAAATAACCTTGACTGAAATGACATCTGGAAGATCTAAAGTCTTTTTGTTTAAAAATAGAAGTTATTTGTTTGTCATAAATTGTCTTTAATGGTTTGGAAAACCAAAAGTTGGATGGCAACTTCACATTGTGGAAAACTGAACTGGAATACTGGTTCACCCTTGTCCTAGTGACTTTGGGTTGTAATTCCCAAGCCCTAGGTTAAGGTTTCAAGACTGGTAGACAGAGAAGTAAAAAAAACTGAACTGCAATTACAGTATGCAGTATACACTACTGTACCAAGGTCAGTTCTATAACACATTTTATTCCTGGACATTATAATTAGATTAAAGATAATGTAATGGTTGATCTAGGAAAATTCATCCTCTCTTGGAGTAGGTTTGGTGAAACCAGTAAGTTCCATGTGCATGTGGACACATATTCATTGTTTTAATTTTCTAATTTTTTTCCCGGATGAAGTGGATGTTTTATTTAGTATATTTATTCAATTTGGATCCTTACTCGTTCTGAAGAAACGCATGGTGCTTAAAAATTTTGGTACTTCGTCTTTGGCTTACTAGCTTTGTCTAGATTTGTTTTAGACCTGTTAATAGTATCTGCTTATGCGGATTGGACTCATTCCTCTGGTATTTTCTTAACAGGTTTACATCAATGGTGCAGGGCCATGAAAATGTGCATCTAACAACTGCTGAGAAGGGTCTGAAAGCTATACCAAAAACAGCATTTCAGTGTTGATAATAACTAGTCATGGTATGACAATGTACTTGGTAGAAGTTTTTTCTATAATTTATTCTTCTTTTGATTTGTGTTTTTAACTTTAATTTCTTTCTAGTTGAGAGAAATGAGAAATTTATTTATCTTTTGATAATTAATACAAGAATAAGTTTCTCATCTGAGTTTTCTGTCATCCATCTTTTACTGATTTGGATATTGCGCTTGGACTTTGCTCCCCCCCCCCCCCCCCCCCCCCCTGCCAAAAAAAAAAAAAAAGGAGAGAGAAGCTTATTGAGGATGGTGATGGGTGAGACTGAGGCTCTACCATCCATCAATTGTGTGTGTAAACAGGACATTCCAATGTGTGCTCTTCTGGCAATGCTTATTTACCCTACTATTTGTTTTAGGGGACTGATGTGCGTGCTAGGGTCTAAAGTTGCCCGCAGTATGGTATGACCCAACAGTAATTGCATCATTGAAATAATCTTGAGACCTAAATATAAAGACAAGATATGAATCCCGACATGTGGTGTTTAAAATACAGAATTATTGAATGAATGAGAAAAATGTGTAACAATTGAATGAATGTGTGCTCTTCTGGTAATACTTATTTACCCTCTATTTGTTTTAGCCTTTTAGGGGGATGATGTGCATGCTATAGTTGGATTGTGTAGTTTAGTATCGCAAGTTGGATGGTAGTGAGGTTTTAAGTGGTGGCTCCTACTTTTAACACCGAAATGGTCTTACCAGAGACATGGACCTATCCCTAAGAACTGCTGTGGAGTTATTCCAGTGGTGTGGGTTGTCACTTGTCTCCATGGCCTTGCGCTTCGAGGGATTTAAACCGTCATCTCACCTCCAAAGGCAGTGGGGATACAGCAAATGGCAAAACCTTGCTAGGGAAAAAGTCAGAGGAGACAACAAAGAGGGTAAGGGTGTGCTTGATTCATATTTCTGTTTTTTGAGAATTGAAAATTTAAAAACTGTACAAAAAAATATGCTTGGTTCAATTTATGAAAACTCAACTCTAAACGAAGGTTTTTTAGGTTTCTGAAAACTTTTTACAGAAAACTGAAGTTTCCGATTCACGTTGGTGATTGAAACTTAACATTCATATATGTGTGATGATAAAAAAATAAAAAAATAAAAAAATAAAAAATAAAAACTAGAAAGGTGACCCAGTTTTATGAGGTATCTGTTTGAAGAAAGCTGGAAGGCAAACAAATATTCAAAAGTTTAGGTGACCTAGTAAGAATTCTGGAGAGAGATGATGTTGTATGGCTTTGGGTTGGCTGCCAATAATAATTTAATGATTGCTTAGTTTTTTTTTTTTTTTTAATTATTTGACGTAAATGTGAGAATACATTTCTACGTTTGTTGGGACCGTTATGTGCCTTTGAACTCACCCAATTGAGAAGTACGTTTTAAAAGTTGGGTAGTACAAGTACCTCATAGTACAAATCAAACTAATATTTGTACTGGTAGAATGTGTACTACCACACACACACACACTCTCTCTCTATTACTTTTATAAATCTCCATGCTTCACGAGGATGTTCTGTACTAAAGCCAGTAAGCCATAATTGAGGTAGGATTAGGGTTAGGGTTTGGAATCTGAAGGAAGAAATTCAAAGTTCATGCCGCAGACGATGTATTGGAATTTTAAGGGTAATATTAGATGGAAGAGGGTAGACGGGGACGAGGCAGAGCATGAGATGACCAGTTTACACATCTTTTGTGTTGTTGCTCTTCCCATGCACTGCCTCTTCCCTGGCTATCCTCTCTCTCTCACACACACACACACACACACACACACCCATTTGTCTATCTATGTGTCTTTTGTTTTTTTTTCTTTTCTGTCTAATACTGTTTTAATTTGAAATCATGAAAGATGGGTTATCCTTAATGTCATGATAAATCATGTCTCTGTCTCCTCTACTTTTTACATTCATAATATATGCACAAGCCTAAGCACCGTTAGATCTATGGACTCCACTGTGGGACCCAGAAGATCAAAGGACCGTGCTTGCCCGAGTCCTCGGTCATTGGATGATGCAAACTTCACATGAAGTGTGTGCATTATATTATGGGTGAGGAATGGCAATCGCAACTAATTTTATGTATTTGTAGTTAATGACATTGCAGCAGTTAGATGAGTCGTCCGGGAGCTGAGGCCGTTGGACTGAGTTTACACTTTGAACTCAGGAAACTGAGAGATTGATTACATTTCGCCAACGTAAGTGACGGATCAGATTTATCTCTGATCGGCCAGAATTGACTGCGAGGAATCGGGTATTGTGATGACCATAATCAGAGTGACCGATATGTGTTGTATAGAGCTTGAAGCAACGACTTTGCTGTCGATCAATTCTGTTCTTTTTCTTCTTCTGTGCAAAAATCCATTGCGAGCCTCTGTTTTGGAGAAATTGTGAATTTGTATATGGAGCATTGAAAGTTGTGCCATTTTTTGTTAATGGTTTAGTGTCATATTTCCATACAAAGAGCCATGGACTTTAGAGCAATAAATAAATAATTATACAAATGTGCATTATAGTGTTAGCACCTAATTATTTTAGGAAACAAAAAGAAAGGAAATTATTTCACATTTAAAGTCAAATACAAGACAAATGCACATACTGTGCTAAACATCATTCAAGCCAAAAGTAACAACAATCTGAAAACAAGAAGAAAGTGCTAAAGAGAATAAAAATATGCTTCACAAATAAAAAATAAGTGCTTTACGATATTTTGATTTTGTCTTTATAACATAGGGCAAAATTAGTATTAGAATTTTTTTTATTAAACTTTGTAGTCATTTCCTTCTATTTCCACTTATTCTTTCCATTTCCTCTCTTGTTTTTGAAAGGATAACAAAACTTAATCATCTGCCCTAATTTGTATTCCTTCATTTCGTTTCTTTATACAAACAAAACACAATAGAGCATTTCTTTATACAAACAAGACACAATAATGATAGCCAAAATCAATGAAACAAGCAATTTTGTCAAAAGTATATAATTGGTTAGATGATGATTTAAAAAGTTCATGGTTTCACAGATTGGTTTAGATTTTTTTTACCCTCCCCCCATTTCACTTGGGCTTCAAGTCTCTTAATGTTGGTTATTACAAATTTACAGCAATTAGATCCAAACAACTTACAGTGAATCGCATTTGTATTTTGTCTTAAGCTCTGTTCGGCAGGAGAAAAAAAGAAGGGGGAGGAAGGGAATAGAAGAAGAATTGGAGGGGATTTTTTGTTTGGTGGAGAAAGAGGGAAATGATGAGCAGATCTCTCGGAACTTGCATATTTGCTTTCAACCGGAACAGAATGGTAGAGGGGGGAGAGGAAAATTTGTTGTATAAAATTGAAAGGACAACATAACCATGATTTATTAAAACTCTTGTCTAATATAGTGAAGGGTTGTGCTGATCAAACAATATTCAAAACCATCTCTTCTATTCCTTTCTATCGGATAATGGAATGTCTCATCCCTTATCTTTCTTTTTTCTAACAAATAATGAAATGGTTAGAGGGCATTACTAGTGACCTAGTTGGTAGAGCACCCAACTCTCTGAGCGAGTGTGTCCGTGTTCAGATCTACCTCCCTTAGTTTGCTAGGAATTCTTAATAATCCTAATTTAATGTCAAAGTCGTTATTATATTGGAAGGATAATCTGTAAAAGTAGTTCACAAAATAAATTATTTCTGTAATTTCCATATTTTTTGCCAGCTTTGGAAAGATGTGGTAACCCACAATGCACACTTGTGTTGTAGGGAGATTAGCCGTAAGAGAAAATGGGCAGTCATGTCATGTCATGTTATGCATAAACATATACACATATGGGCAATACAGTCCAAAACTCAAAGTAAATTCTCAAATGCTAATTTTGCGAACAGCTTCATGTATGGCACATCATATAATCCTTCCATAAGAAAATCACCTTTCATCCAAAATATTCATCACATCAATTATGCACCTAACAGTGGATTTGAGATATGAGCAGAGACGAGCAAACAAGAACATAAAAGCAACACGCTGATTCAATGAATTCACTATATATAACCATTTTATGAAAATGTAGATAGGAACCAACATTTGGAATATACAAGCACATGTATTTTACAAATTATTAATTTTTTTGATAAATAAGAATGTATTTGAAAGCGATCAAAAGGAGATCGCATCCCAAGAGAACTACACAAGGCCAAATGGGGGCCGCTAAACTCTCAAAGAGCCCATAAAATCAACTATCTCCTCTAAAGATCTATAATTTCTCCCTACAACCCAACAAAAAAGAGTGGTAGTAATGGAGAATTCAGCATGTGAATAGGAGTTTCCTTTTCTTCGAAAGATCTCCTATTTCTTTCAAGCAATAAACAGTGGATTTGAGATATGAGCAGAGACGAGCAAACAAGAACATAAAAGCGACACGCTGATTCAATGAATTCACTATATATAACCATTTTATGAAAATGTAGATAGGAACCAACATTTGGAATATACAAGCACATGTATTTTACAAATTATTAATTTTTTTGATAAATAAGAATGTATTTGAAAGCGATCAAAAGGAGATCGCATCCCAAGAGAACTACACAAGGCCAAATGGGGGCCGCTAAACTCTCAAAGAGCCTATAAAATCAACTATCTCCTCTAAAGATCTATAATTTCTCCCTACAACCCAACAAAAAAGAGTGGTAGTAATGGAGAATTCAGCATGTGAATAGGAGTTTCCTTTTCTTCGAAAGATCTCCTATTTCTTTCAAGCAATAAACAGCACCAAACGCACAAAGGCGTAGACCTCCAAATGCCCCAGACTTGGGCCCCCACTATACACCCTCTCAAAGCCTTGATAAAACCCCTGGAAGACTTAGGCATAATCCATTGAACCCCAAATAATCTGAACAACAAGTCCCAACAATCCCTAGCCACATGACAATGTAAGAGGAGGTGATCAACCGTCTCCTCATCTCTAAGGTACATGCAGCACAGTTGACTACAATTTGATTTCTTCTCTTCAAATTATCCTGATTCAAGATCTTTCCCAAGACAGCAGTCCACGCAACGAAAGCCACCTTTAAAGGGGCTTTGGACCGCCAAACTGCCTTCCATGGAAACACAGCCCTTGGTATCTCATTCAGACAGCTAAAGAAAGTCCGAACAGAAAAATGCCCCTGAGATGAAGGAACCCAACTCCAGGAATCAGAAACTCCACTCATGATCTCCTGACGATACAACAGGTCCAACAAACCACAGGCGTCCTCAATCTCCCAGTCCTGAAGGTGCCTCCTAAAACGAACATCCCAAGACGATCTTCCACTATCAAGGCGATAACAATCAACCACTATGACCTGTCTATCCATGGCAATCCTGAAGAGACGGGGGAAGGTGAGAGCTAGAGAGCGATCCCCACACCAAACATCTCCCAAAAACGAATCCTCCTTCCATCCCTAAGTCGAAATCTTATGTGTTTAGAAAAGTCATCCCACCCTTTCCGAACGGATTTCCAAACCCCAACGCCGCTTGGACAGTGTACCTCAAGTGAAGTCCAACCTCCACTCCCTTTCCCGAAACGACTCTCAACCACCCTTCTCCATAGCCTGTGCTTTTCCATCCCAAAACGCAAAAGCCACTTCCCCAAGAGAGCCTTGTTGAAGGAGGCCAATCTTCTAATACCCAAACCACCACCCCTAACTGGAGTGCAGACCTGATCCCATCAAACAAGATGATATTTGAACTCATTCCCCAAACCCCCCCAAAGAAAATTTCGCTGCAACGTCTCAATCCTCTCTACCACTGAAGAGGGAATTTGGAAGAGAGAGAGGAAATAGGTAGGAAGGCTTGACAATTTGCTTTTCATTAAAGTGACCCTTCCACCCTTTGAAAGATACTGCTTTTTCTATCCCGCCATCTGCCTCTCAAACCTCTCCACCACAGGATCCCAACATCCCACCCTCCTTGAAGACGATCCAAGAGGCAAGCATGGGAAATGACCCAATGCAACAGCCAAGGCAATCAGCTAGCGCAACAAAACAATAACCTTGCATTATCTCCGTCACATCCATGAAACCAGCTCTGAAGCAAATTTACTCCCTCGGGAATGCTGATTATAATAGGATTTTCAATCTTATAACTCTGGTTTATTAACTCTTAGTCTTGTATAGTGAAGGTTTCTGCTGATAAAACAATATTCAAAACCTTCCATTCTGTTCCTTTGTCTCATACCTTTTCTTCCATCAAATAATGAAACAGCTAGATGTAAACCTCCAGCCTAGCAGTATCTGCATCTTACAAAAGCAATCAATTTCCCCCATATTTCACCTAGACATTGAAGACATTTATATTACATAGGGATAACCAACAATGAGCCTTTTCTCTTTCTCAATACTCCTAATTTAATGTCAAAGTTACTATTTTATTTGAAGGATAATCTGTAAAAGTAGTTCACAAAATAACTTCTCTCTCTGTAAGTTCCATATATATATATACACACACACTTGTCATCTTTGGAAAAAGAAAAGAAGGATAATAAAATCGATTATCATACCTATATTTATGTAGAAAGATGAACAAGTCTCTTCTGTTTTATGACCCCTCCAACAAAACAGACTTTTATCGCATTTCAGGTATGTGGTAGCACACAATGCACATATATGTTGCAGGGAGATTGGGCCTAATAGAAAATGGGCAGTCATGTCATGCATAAACCCATACACTGATGGGCAGTCATGGTTTGTATATTCCAAATTTTTATTCCTATCTGATTCTCTAAAATGCTAATTTTTCCAAGATACTTGTTGCAAACAGCTTTATGTATGGCACATCATATAATCCTTTCCATAAGAAAATCAGATTTCAGCCAAGATAGTCATCCTCGAGAATTCTCCATATGCACATCAACGATGCACCAAACAGTGCATTCGACATATGAGAAAAGACGAGCAAACAAGAACATAAAAGAGACGCGCTGATTCAATGGATTCATTAAATATTACCATTTTATGATAATATAGATAAGAATCAAAATTTGGAATATACAAGCACATATATTTTACAAAATTGTAAGATAGCAGAAAAGAAGAACTAACTTGGCACGTCAACAATCTGAAAGGACAATCTTGCAGCATCCCTGCCACATCCATGAAACCAGCTCCGAAGCAATTTTAATCCATCTGGAACGCTGATTGTAGCTGAGCCACACCACTCCATCCAATAGGGCAATTGCACAAAGGCTGATCATAACTCTTTTATAGAAGAGAAGGTTTATCACATTTCTCCCAAGCTCTCAGCAAGTATGCTACAAACCTTATCTTCTTGCATGTTCAAATTTTCATGGGCTGCTACTTCACCATCTGTTTCCTCTTTGACAGCAGATCCGATCAACAATCGATGAGTAATAGCATCCGGAACCCAACCCTTTTCCAACATCAAATCTAATAATTGGCAGGCCTTGCTTTTGTATCCCTCTTTAAGAAGGCCATTAATTATTAAGTTGTACATTGCCGAATTAAGAATTTCGTGACTAGAGATAAGCTTATCGATTGCGAGCAAAATCATATGCAACTGAGAATGTCTGGCCATGCATAATAGTAGATTAGTTAGTGCCTCCGGATTTGGCAATAAACCCTCATTAACCATCAAATTGAAAAACAAAGCACAATCCTTTGTTTGACCAAGTGTACTCATGCATTGTATGAGGATACAATATGCTTCCGAATCAAGAGTACACCCTTCTACCACCATTCGCGAGAGAACTATTAAAAGATCATCTGCTTTCTTTGACTTGGACAAACTTAGCATAATAGTATTATAAGTGGCATTAGAACAAGAAGTACCAGAATAGTAAGCCAATGACAACATCCCGATTGCTCTACCAACCTTTCCTGCTTCACAAAGCCCCCTGATCAGCATACTGAATGAAGAGGACTGAAGAGCACATCTTTTATTAGACATATAGCTGAACACTTTAACAGCCTCATGAATCTTTTCCCCTTGACAAAGGCATTGAACTAGCTCAGCATAAGAGACAGAGTCCAAAAGCCAGTATTTGGCAGAAACCTGATGAAATAGCACTAGAGCATCCTCGTATCTACTCAGTTTACATTTGCCAATGATAATAGCAGAGTAAGTGGCAGAGTCAGGTACATATGAAGAGACAATCATTCTACCAAGAAATTCTAAAGCTTTATCAATCCATGTATTCTCAGAAAGACATCTGATAAGAATATTCCAAGAATCAGCATCCACTATATTTCTCTCAAGCATTTCATCAAACAGACATTTTGCCATGAGGAAGTTACCAGAATTGCAATAGCCTTCCAGCAACACATTGTGAGGACAAGTCTCCAAAACATGTTTATCTTCCAAAAACTTTGTAGCTTCATCAAATTTCCCTAATTTACAAAACCCATTTATTATATTGATACACACATCATCAGCCGGTGATATGCTGTTATCAATCGTCTCTTCAAACATCTTTACTGCATCAACCACATGAAGGTTCTCACACAAACAGCGTATCAAAACCCCATAAATTAATGAATTAGGCACCATTTTAGAGGCTCTCATCATTCTAAATAACCTCATCCCTTGTTCTAGATTATTTTCCCTACAAAACAAAAAGATTGTACCAGTATAAAAGCTCAAATCCGGCTCAACCCCAAGTTCAAGCATATTATCCAAAACAACAATTGATTCCTCCATTCCGTTCCTTGTAATAAGGCCACTTATGAGTATCTCAAAGGTCTTGCTATTAGGAACACACCCTTTCTTGTTCATTCTTCTATATTGATCCAAAGCAGTGTCAACTCGACCAGCCTCAAACAAAGCTTCTAGCAGATAATTCAATGTTTCAACGGTAGGAACAACACCTGCTTTCACCATTTCCTTATAAACAAACAGGAAAGCTTGAAAATCTTTCTTCTCCTCCACAAGTGCACCCAACAAAACATTAAACACAGTTATTGAAGCCTTATAACCAGACGAATTCATGACCACAAGAACGCGTGAAGCTTCCATTAGCAAATGATGTTTAACGAATAATTCAATCAATGCCACAAGAGCTTCTTCTGTATTTGCACATCTCTCTTTCACCATCTCATTACAAAAACCCTCCATTTCATCAACATTTCCCACCATACCCAACTTCAAGATTATCTTGCAATAAGTATTGGTGGTGTGACGAAACCCTTTTTGAAGGGAAGCCCATTTGAACAATTTCAATGAAGAATTCAAGTCATCTGTGGAATCCAAAACCTGAACTAATTTATCCGCCGAGATCTTATTCCTCAAAAATTGAATCTTTGTTTCAAACTCATATGAACTTAGTGGGTTTTGATCATTTTCTGGTAAAATTTCGATATTATTTGCACATGACACAGAAGAAGCATATGCACTAAAATGAACCCACCTGGGTATTTTCCTGGAAAATGCTAAAAAAGATGAGAGCTTCACTGCCATTGAGGAAGCCCAGAAACAGATACAACTATTGCGAACGAAATTTTATGAGCAGACATATATGATATATATTTGTGTGTGTATATATGAAAGGGGACGAAATATTGTGATCTGACCTTAGAATTGATGCTCCAAACAATGGTTGAAGGGTCAGCAATTCGGGCGTAAAAACAAACGAAACCCTAGAATTTATTAGGAGAAATTCTAGGAATTATTGAGCTTAATTTGGTTTTTCTCAACTGAGCAAAGAACTTGAGAGAGAGAAGAGAGAGACGATGATGATGAAGAAGAAGAAGAGATTATTGGGCCAAATTTGAACTGGACTTTATAAATTGGGTTTGGGAAAGCGCAAACCGGTTTTATTAGAAACCGGAACTTATTTGGTAAAGTGAAGCAAACAAGGAAGTGTCAATCCAAGAAAAATAATACAAAATCGAAAAGGGTGAAAAAGAATCTCTCTAACAAAAATCAGGATTCTTAACTTCTATCGGACCATTTCCAATTTAAAATGTCATTTTGAATTGCCAAATTTATATTTTGAGAAGATTTATAATGATAAAATATTATATTTTAGCAATTCTACTCCAATGTTACATTTCATTCAAAATATTATATTTTAGCAATTCTTAGTCTCTATTGAATCAAACACAACCCATTTCTATATTACCAATCCTACTTTAACTCTGACAACTGATTTCGAAATTACCTTCCCATTTTAACCATTCATTACATTCTGTTCCACATAATCTTTTTAAGGTAAATCATTTCAGCCTCCCCAACCGCCTCCATCTTTATTCTTGTTCTCTACTCTAAACTTGCCACCCCCCGCCCTCCCCCCCTCTCTGCCACTGCAAACTACAAAATCTACAAGAATCAGAAGTTCAAAACCCATATAATTCAGTTTATCTATCTGTCTGCAAGAATCAAAAGTTCAAAACCCATATCGGCATATCGATCATTTTAAATTGTTCAAAAAATCAAAACCCATATCGACATATCATTTCAGATTGTTCAAAAAATCAAAACCCATATCTTTCAGTTTCGATCACCCGCTGTTCTAGTTCGGGTTCACCATTTGCAAGCTTCAGCCGCTGTCTCTCGACTCTCAAGCTTGGTCCCTTCTCTCTGCAACTGCTAACTTGTATGTATGGGTTTTTAAAAATAATTTTGAGGTATTTTTAAAAATGATTTTGAGGTAATCACCGTAATCTACATTTTATTTCTTGGAAGGAAGAGGGGTGGCCGGAGATTTGTGAGGATGAACTTGGCCTCGGCTGAGAGGGAGAGAGAGAGAGACGATAGGGCAACGCAGAGAGATAGAAAAAAAAAAAAAAAAAAAAAAAAAAAAAAAAACGTCGTTTGGGCAATTAAAAGACTTGCCAAAAAAATTTGGGGCTCTTATATCTGAGAGTAAATTTGAAATTCTCAATTTTTGAGAGTCCATTGGAGAGCCCACTTTATACATACTTCTCAAATTTTGGGTTTAACAACCCAAATGAAAGAGAATTGGAGTTGCATGCATTATTTTGGTTTGCTTCCAAGTTATCCTATATGCATTCTTGGAACATAAGCATGGATCATCTATGCACGTATAAAGGATAACTTTTTAATACACGTCATTATTTTTACATATCATTATCTTATTCAACTTTATTACTTCTGCATTTTTTATTTTTTTTTAAATGTCAATATGGAATTTAATAAGAAAATGATATGGCTAAAGTGACTAACTCACACTGAATTAGGGGTGACAAATGGGCGGGTTGGACCGGGTTTGGGTTGGGTTGAAAATGGGCAAGTCAACATGGATCAAGACCCATATTCAACTCGTTCAGAACGGGTTAAAAATGGATAAGGTCAACCCGTTATGACCCGTAGACCCATTCATTAATTATTATTTTTTATTTTTTATTTTTTTATTTATTGTTTCTCAACCCTGAAGTCATATATATCTAGGTAACCTTTTGATAAGAGTAAATATATATTTGCAACATGTACAAGATCAACAAACGCCTCCAATTATCTCATATATATCTTTTAAGCCACTCAGGTTTTCAAATGTTAAAATGAAGCACTTTCTGGTGGGAATTGTTTAGTGTAGTGTGTTTCCAACAGGTATGGGAGGCACTGGACCCATTTATGAAAAGAGGGTGTACAGGTGGTAGGAGAGCAGCAACACTTGTAACACGGCTAAGGTGTGTCCAGGTTGGAGAAAATGGCCATATTTGTCATCAATTATTTTTAAATTTTTCTAATTTTTTTTAAAAAAATTATTTATTTTTAAATTTTTTAAAACTTTTTTATTTATTTCTAAATTTTTTTATTTTTTTTTTAAATTTAATTATTTTAATTTTTAAAACTTTTTTATTTATTTTTCATTTTTAATTTTTTAAACTTTTTAAATTTATTTTAAATTTTAAATTTTTTTATTTATTTTAAATTTTTTAAAATTATTTATTTTTTTAGAAGAAATGTCTAGAGAGGGAAACTTAAAGAGAGGGGATTGATGAGAGACAAATTTAGAGAAAGTGGATTGTAAGTGAGAGAATTTTAGAGAGAGAAATGAGTTGAGTGCAATATAGATGTGTATTGTGTGTTTATTATATGATGGGTGAAACATATTTAACCCATCTTGATTCTCAAATTAAATGGTTAAAAATTATCCAATCCATCTTGACTCTCAAATTAAATATGGTTTATCCATAATCATTAAAAAGTGAACGGATATGGACGGGTTGATGGTTTCTGACCCATTTTGCCACCCCGTACACTGAATAACAACAACTTCCTCTCTTTTATTCATTCATGTAAGTTGCATGCTAAAGGACATAAGTCATATCTTATTTATTATTTTTATGGTAATTAGGTCTCGTGCTCAACTCATTGTCACTCTTATAATTAAAATTAAAATACCAGTCGGGAGATGAAGAGTTGAATAATTTAAATATTTAAGTTACCCACCTTCAAGGAATTGTTCACATCCAAGAGTAAACCTTAATACGTGATGTTTTCTGAGTCACCAAAATCAAGTTCTTATCCACTTGAGCTAATCTCTTGAGTTACCTTAATGTTTTACTGGTACAGTAGAATTCTATATATAGATCATACTTCATTCCCTTATTAATCTATTTTGTGATGCTCGTTTTATTTTTAAAAAAAAGAAGAAGAGAAAAATGCAGGTTTTGAACAGATTTATAACAAGGTTTGGAACCACGTACTTGAAATTCATTCAAAGCAACATTGACATGCATATAGATTGAGTCTACATATGCTATTCGCACTTCGAAATCCAGCAGACTTTCTTCATTATGTAATTTACTAACCTTAACAAACTTATGCACATTTCCCCGCGATCACATAATAGTATTTAACACAGAAATTCAAACCATTCAAATTCATAAAAACTGAGTTTAATTTAATGTTAGTATTTTTATGCTTTGTATGGTTTTCCTTACCTTGTTTGGCTCTTAAAGAGCCCTCCTTGTACATTCTTCTCTCTTTATATGTGTGTGTGTGTGTATATGTGTTTGTGTGTGAATTGGCAATAAAAAATTGTGGGATGAGAGGAAATTTTGAAATCCACGAAAAAAGAGAGGCATAATAGGCGGTCCTTGGTGTCAAGCTTGTCCTACATTTGAATTTCGACTAGAGGAAAGCCCTGGATTATATGTGCTGCAATCAAGATGAAAGACCATGAAAGAGTATATTATTACTCTACCTAACAGAGAATTCCAAAAGCAACTCTCAAGTTTAGGCAAAAACACAAAATACACTCATATATTGGCGAAATGATTTCACTATGCAAACAAAAAATGAGATGTGCGGTCTCTTATGCCATAACTTGAGTACACCCATTATTACCTCTCTTTATTTCGGGATTAATTAAAAACCCTGACACTCATATACATCGAGTTACAATTAAGAATAGAATAACAATTACTACCAGTAAAATAAAAAAATAGGTCCAAAAAGGCCAATGATGGCCCACAATTCCTTTTCAAAATCCTAATTACAATGGTTTAAATGGATTTTATGAGCTTAATTTACCCTAATTACTAAGGAATTAGAGTGTCACCTCTAGGTTTTTTGAATTACCAGGTCTAAAATGTGTGAATTTTAAGGTTTGGAGACTTTAGAATGGATTTTGTGATTCTTTTCCTAATTACTAATGAATTAGAATGTGGGCTTGAGTATTTAACTGATTTGAAAACTTGACCTTTAGGTGTTTATGAATTACTTACACCTAAAATTTATGATTTTTAGAATTTACGACTTCAAATTTATTTATTTATTTATTTATTTTTTAAATGATACTTATTTGGTCTGGCCTAATCTATGTGCTGCCTATGTGATATGCCACATCACAGAATATTTAAAGTGACAAACTACTCCTTGTTAAGTTTCTCAATCTTCCGTTTTTTTCGAGAAATTTGATTAATTGTTTGTGTTTTATACTTATAAAATTTTAATAAAATCAAATTGTATTGCATTTGTGTTTTATACTTATAAAATTTTAATAAAATCAAATTGTATTGCATAGAATGAATGTCGACGGAGTCTAATGTGGTTTTGTTGGTATAATCTTTTGGTTGTTGAGACTCTTTGTATACTTCTTGATGATAAAATCTCAATAAAATCAAATTATATATACTGTAGAGAATGGATGCTAATACATTCCTAGACGTTAATGGAGTTCAAAGTAATTTTGGTTTTTGACTCTATTACCTTTACCTTTTGGGTATAGCCTCTCTAAAATTTTATAATCCTTATTCTTTTACAACCAGTAATAAAACTAAACCTATCAATCCTAGAAGGGAATTTTTTATTTTTTTTAAGAGATTAGAGATATTTATGGAAAAAATAATTGTAGATAATTAAGGATAATTTTTAATATTATAAGATCCTATCACACCTAGACTTTGAATAATTGTTATGGAACCTAAACTTAAAATTTAAGAATTTTAAGTTTTATAGATTTTCTAGGTTACTATCGAATCTAAACTTAAAATTTAAGAATTTTAGAACTTATATGAGTTGTGTATTTTAGAATTTAATGTTTGAGTTGTGGATTTTTTTTTTTTTTTTTTTTGAACCTAGACTTCAAATATGAATTAAATATTTAAGAATTTTAGGATTTTAGATTGTCTTTTGAACCGAGACTTCAAAATGAGTATTTTAGAGTTTTGAAAAGAATTTTAATAAATTTAATTGTCCTAAGTGTGTAAGGATTGGAACTAAACCTAAAATATAAGTATACTATTTAGAATTTTAAAAGGAGTTTAGTTAAATTTAATTGTCGTAGCTTCCAAGGAAATATGAGTATTTAAACCCCTGATCTCCACGCTTCTAGTCATACCTAGGGTTTTTCACACACGCCTCTCTCTCTCTGCTCCCACCGGCTTCTCTCCTCCTATGGCATCGCAGGATTCCGGCAACACGTCTTCTTCTGGCGGTGGTGGTTTCTCTCCTCCGATCCTATCGCTAAATTTCGGCGACAACAGCTCTCAACCATCAGTCAAAATCGAGCCGCCTGCAGTTTCGAATATGACAAGCAAAACGATTGATATTCCGAATGAGAGGGTTGGTGTGATTACTAGTGAAAAAGATGATGATGCAGATCCTAATCCCCCAACTAGGGTTAGGATCTTCACTACGCAAATCGCCAAACCCAAGAACCCGTCTATAAACAATGATATTGTTGGGTTTGTGGAGGATATGTTTGTTCCAAACAATATGGTTAGTCTGGGAGTCAAAACCATAGCAAACCTACAAGAAAGGACGGGAGCGCGTATTCAGGTGAGAGTAGAGATAGATGGCGGCAGAGTACAGGTTGAAAGTGCAAAACAGATGGTCAATAAAATAATCATCCAAAATCAACAACCCTGTTATGGTGGTTATGGTTACTCACAACCTCAGCCTGCATGTGGTTGTGGTTGTGGTTGTCATGATCACTACAGGAAGCTGCCGCCGCCGCCTCCTCAGCAACATGCCTGTGGCTGTGGTGGTGAAGGTGGTTCATCAGCCCCTGCACCAAAAGCTTGTCCCTGTAATCAACAAGGGCAAGGGCAGCCGCCGCCAGTACCGCCTCAGCAACAAGCCTGTGGCTGTGGTGGTGGTGGTGGTGGTGGTTGTTCATCAGCACCTGCATATAATACCAGCTATGGATTCAACCAATCAGCAGCTTTTCCCTATAATCAACAAGGGCAAGGTTATCCTCATTACCACGGTTATGGTGGCTATAATAATGCACCTGGTTACGGTTACGGTTATGGTTATCTACCACCTGGAGCATATCCATATTATATTTTTGTTCCTCCTACTGGATATGATCAACAACCTGCATTTGGATATGCTGGTGGCTGGGACCAGACAGCTCAAGGGGACCAGACAGCTCAAGGGGACCAGCTGCCGCCTCAGCAACAAGCCTCTGGTGGTGATTCATCAGCCGCTGCAGATAATACCACTTATGGATACAACCAACCACCAGCTTCTGGCGATGGGCAATGCAGCTGTGGTTATGGTCAGCCGCAGCCAGATCTTAATCAGTAGCATGGTTGTGTTAATGTGACCAATTAACCCAACTTCATATGATGAAGAAAGACTTCCCTGCACCAAGGTCTTATCAATCAATAATGCTTGGACTTTAGGAATTTTTTTTTTTTTTGGTAGCCATCCGTATTAATGTAAGCCTATGGCATATTTATATTAATAATTTTAGATATATATATTTGTTATTATTATTATTATTATTATTTTTCACAAAGATCAGCCAAAACTTTCATTTCATCAAATTCCTATGCGAGATCTCATTTAAATGTATGTGTTTAGGTTATTGTTTTTACTATTTAAAAGTTTTGCTTCTTCTATTAAAGGGTGTTGTTTTAGTAAAAAAATGTTGCTCCTTCGATTAAAGGGTGTTGCATTTACGATTTAAAAGTGTTACTTCTATAATAAAAGATTTAGAATTGATGCTTTTACAATTTAAGAGTGTTGCATTTATGATTTTAAAGTGTTGTTTTTACGATTTAAGGGTGTGACTTAGATGCAGATTATAAGTTTTGCATTGGTTTTATTGTTCAGTCCTGTTCATACCAGTTTACCAATTCTAAGAGAGAGAGAGATATATATATATATATATAGGGTCATACAAGCCTTTCAAACTTAATTATCGTCAGATGACAATTATTGCTATTGGAGAAAATTGCTTCAACTTCGAGATACGGCAAGGCCTCTGACCTCTTCACATATTTTTCATCAATTTTTAGTTGTCCTGGTTTCTAAGGAAATTAAATTTAAATTTAAAATGTATGTGTGCAAGTGTGTTAGACTTTCGAAAACAATTTAATCGTCATTTCTAAGCAACTTAGATTTAAAATATATGTATTTTAGAGTTTTGAAAAGAATTTTTATGAATTTAATGAGGACTACTAATTTCAGTTGGACTATGGAGCATTAAAATCTAATTTTGTAAGATAAAATTACCCTCTTTTGTTTGTTGACTATTCTCTGTTCTCCTTCCATCGCCTGTCTATATATATAAAATTTTTGAAAATATAGCCATTTATATATATATATGTATAGCTTCTTCTTTCTTCTTCTTTTTCTTCCTTTTTTTTTATTTTTTTTTATTTTTTATTTTTTATACCGTTGATGGATTCTATACATATTAAATATTATTTATTTATACTTTTAGATGTGAATTTTTAAGACTGTAATTTTTAATTGAAAGAAATTATAGAATTGAATTTTCGTTGAAGTAAAATTATAATAATTGAGTTTAGTTTATTTGTAAAAGATAGAAGTGAATGGTTTAGTAAAGACAAAGGGAGAAAGAAGTATACTGGTGAAGGGATAATCACACTTATTGAATTTTAGTTGGAGTAAAATTGTATAATTGAGTTTTTATTATAGAGAGAAATATAATGGTGATGAGATAATCACACTTGATGAATAAGATGGTTTTATTAGTGATGGATAATTATTGATGATAACATAAGATAAATGACTGGTTTTGAGAAAAAAAAAAAAAATAGAAAAAAAAAAAAAAGATTCAGTTTAAAACACAATTAAAAAAAAATGAAAAAGCTAGTAAGAAAGAATAAATATATATATATATACACACACACACACAAACACAAATACAACTAGATCAAGAGAGAGAACAAATTATAATTATTTTTGTAACCTATTACAGATGGGACTGTAATTAGCAGTCATCAAATTTAGTTGTCCTAGGTTTTTATAACTCTCTTGAGATTAAATTTTTTTAACTGGACATGCATTGAAAAATATAAAATATATTATTTAAAAAATAATAATAATCAATTACTATATTTTGTAACAGCCCAAAAGGAAAGCATAATACTATTTTGGGAAAATTATATTTTGGTGATTAAAATTAAACATAATTGCTATATAGTAACCTTAAAGTCAAGAAAAGGTGAATAGTGACCAATTTTGAAACTTAATTGATATTAAGTGACCATTTGAGGGTTTATGACCTAAATAGCCTTCTTATAATATATTATTATGTAAGTAGACAAATTTACCCTATACATTAACCTAAATAAACACTTACTTAAATTGACTAACAAAAAGACAACAGATTATTATGGTGAGTCTCTGAAGAGAAGATCAAGATGGGAGAGAACTGATGATGGATATTATATATCATTTTCTTCAAGATTCTAAGAGACATGACGAGAAATTGTAAATTTTCTTCTTATTCATTATTTTCAAGGTATAGTTATTATACTTTACGAGTTGATTTGTCTGAGAGATCTTCCTTAAGATATAAGATTGTAATTTTTAAGAATTTTTAATACTACTTAGTTATAGTACAAGAAATAATGACTATTGTTAATTAATTTCATAATTTTACTAATTGTTAAAAGGTGTTTCAAAAGTATGATTAGTCACTGTAAATGTTATGAGCATTCATATTGGAGAGTCTTGAAAAATAAATAAAGGATGGAAAAGAGATAATGTTGATAAAGAAAATTTAATTTTTTAAATTGGTAAATTGTAAACTAAAAAGGAAAATATTAGATGGTTGAAAGCCTTGAAAAATAGATAAAGGGTGAAAAAAAGATAATGTTGGTAAAGAAATCTTAATTTTTTAAATTGGTAAATTATAAACTAAAAAGGAAAAAAAGAAAATGTTGGATTAGAGAGAGAGAGAGAGTATGAGGAGGATGAATTTAATGACTTATTATTTATATTGGATGGCAATTTTGTCATCTAAAATTTATTTTTAAAATGTTTATTAAACTTTTAAGTGTTTTTGACTAAATTATCCTTAAATGATCACTTAATATTAATTAAGTTTCAAAATTGGTAACTATTCACCTTTTCTTGACTTTAAAAGGGAGGAGTACTGTAAATATTTTAAACGAAGTAGATCTAAAAAAATCTTAAAACCCCGGAGAATCCGTGCCCTCTCAACCTAGGGTTTTCACACCTTCTCCCTCTCTCACACCTGCTTTTTCTCTCTCTAGAGACTGTCAAATCGATGGCCGAAGAAGAATTACCGAACTCGTCCGACACTGAGTCATCAACCAACAAGAGGAAGAACGGGGACCAACTGACGACTCCTCCCAGCCGGAGACGGACCGCCGGGGTCTCTGATCCTATCGCAGCGCAGTCGCCAGATTCCGCCAACGCGCCTTCTTCATACGACAGCGTTCATAAATTGAAGGACAAACCGATGGCCTCTCGAATCTCCAACGACGCCGAAGCATATTTGTACAACGCCCTTCACATTCTCTCTCTAGACACACCGACGGCCGAGGAGTTACAGAACTCGTCGTCCTGCATCGACTCATCAACCAATCAGAAGAAGTCCGATGATGACCAACTGATGACGCCTCCCCCGTCAGCCGGTACGCAACAGGCCGCTGGCTTATCTGCTCGGATCGCATCTCAGTGGCCGATTTCATACAACAGTGTTCCACCATTGGCCAATGCCTTACAGATTGCGAAGGTGCGGGTGAGTGCGCTTGCGGAAAAGCTGAGAGCGCAGAACGAGAACTCCGCTCAGCAGAGGCAGGCCTTCATGTTTTGTGGTCAAAATTACTTAGCGAAGAAGCCTCTGATTTCGAATGTGACTCGTTCATCAAAACCAGATCAGACTCGTTATCAAAGAAGACACTACAAGCCGCAAAACGAACGAGTTCAGGAATTGCATGTAAGCCCCTCACTTACACCTTCTGTAAATTTCATTCCCATTTACTCTCATCATTATCAGTAATTATCAGTAATTGTTGTTGTGGTTTCTTCTTTCCTTGAGATAGAAGGAGATAAATTGCTACCTACCTCAAATAGATTTTTGTGGACTTAGACTGATCTAGGGCATAGGCAGACCTACGTCAAGATAAACCCTTTTTTGGAACACTTTCTTTCCTCCCTTTGTTTTCTTGTTTTTGTTCCTTGTGCATGTAATCCTATTTTGATTTTAAATATAAGCTTATATGAAGCCTTTGACGTATATTAATCCTATATATTGTGAAAGAATCAAGCCAAAGGAAGTGTACATGGGTCTATATATATATATATATATATATATATATATATATAATCTTCTATTAGTTTTCTATTAGTGTCACATAAGCCTTTTATTATTTTTAGTCAGATCAGGAGGTGGTGTATATATATATATGTATGGCATTTTCATGGTGTGTCACCAATCCCTATTGGAATGCTCCAGAGAGTGGAAATTGAATAAAAAGAAGTTTCAATGGAAGACAGTTTATAAAATTGGGCCTCACATCATCTGAGATAGCAGCATGAGTAAATGTTTTTTTTTTTGGAATGGTAAAACAAACACACGCTTAGAATGGGGCCCTTTGGTGGAGTAAATGCGATAAATTGACCTAAATCATTCTATAGTTTTTTTGACAGGGAAAAGTAGTAAGAGCAATAATTGAAATCCATATCATATTAATTTTGCACATTGCACTGTTGAAGTTTTGATTTTGCTTTAATTTGCAGGCCAATATGGTCGCAAGCATGGCTTCCTCTTCCTCTTCTGGATCGGGGCACTCATTAATGCACCCACCAACTTTTCGCAAAGCCGAGTTAGAGGCTGAGCGGAGAAAACTAGAGGCTGAGCGGAGAAAACTAGAGAATGAACGGAGGCTACTAGAGAATGAACGGAGGCTACGAGAGACGATGGCAGAAAAAAACTTGGCAGAGGCTACACAAACAATCAAAGATTTGAAAAATGATATGGCTAATATGGAGCAAAGATTACAATCCCAGATAAGGTCTTTAGCAGATGAGATGAAGAAACAATTGTGTTCTCAAAACAATTGATTCCCACCAAATTGATCTTAGATAGGCCTATGTTTGATTCTAGGAAACTTCTGACTCTTCATCCTCCAATTCAAAAATCCAACTTTTGACTTACCTATTATACATTAGGCTGTTTTAATTTTTCTGTTTGAATTTTCAACATATATGCCACGTGTGCATGATTACGTCTTTTGACTATATTTTAGTGATGACCTCTGACTATATATTAGTGATGATCTGTAATTGACATTAGGCTG